GTATGCCTGAGCAAGCCAATATCTGGAATTAATTTTGTGCTTTTGGGAGGCAAGACAGGGAGCCTGTAAAGAGGATAAGTCCAAATGGATCACAAGTATGAATCCTGGTGGGGTTTGTTCAGCTGGCTGTGTGTGGATGTGCATTTGCAGCTTGAATTTTCTGGATTTGGTTTTCCTCACCTCGCTTGTAAAGAGACTCGGAGCAAATTGAACTAAGATCACTCCAGCCTTGAAGCAGACCTGTGGCTGGTATTAAACACATTTTAGTGGGTTGTGCAATGCAGAATCCTTGCTCTGCAGTCTGTTTTAGTGTTTCTTTCTCTCCCTGTGCTTCTGCACTTCTTGATGTCAGCGCTGTTACTGACTGTGCTATTTTATGAGACGTGATGCCCTAAGGGGAGCTGGGGGTCGTTTCTCCATCACTAATCTTTGCTACTTTTGGGAGCAGGATGCAGGCTCACCATTTTACACGTTAGGAGATGAAAAATAAACTTTTTTTTTTTGGTCGAAATTGCGGGGAGGATGGTAGAGGCAGAATGCAGCTACCTCAGCTGCATCACAGCCATGGTGAGGAGCAGAAAAAAAAAAATGCACTGGGATGGTGAATGCCAGTGAAGGGTCCAGCACGAGTTATTCCTTGGGTGTGTGCAGGTTGGTCTGAGCTCCCATCCCAGCAAACCCTGACAGCTCTGCTGGCAGGATGCATTCTCCCGTTGGTGTTTGACAGTCCATGACAGGATTATAAAGAGCTGCTGCACCTACAGGCAAAGAAATGCTACAGGTCCTACATTGCTGCAAATCACATTTAGGCTTGTGAAGCCCATCTCATCCAAAGGCTTCAACTGGATTAGTTATTTTTAAACCCCACAGAAGGAGTGTTAAAAATGTGCTTTTTCATGCAAGCAGCCTTAAAAAAAAAATTAAAAAAAAATCCGTGCTTTATGCTCCGAGGTGCTTTCTCATAATTTCCCCATCCCTTTGCTGCCTACACCCCGACACTGGATGAAAATCACTTTGGAGACAACACAAAGGGCTGTTTCTGCAGCTTGCTTTTGGTAAACCCTTGGATTTTGCTTTTCTCCTTTGCTGAAACTCCAGTAAGCATCTAAGATTTTGATATCTGATTTTAAGAGAGAATTACAGCTCCTGTGACATCCCTGTACCAGAGCCACTGGCTGGTACTTACTGATAGGTTATTAATAGCTGCCAGTGGGGAGTGAAAATAGATGTCCTCTGGTTTTAGGGTGAAATCTGGAAGGGGTAACTTGCTGTGTGACATGAGCCGAGTCTCTCATACGTGCAGGACAAATCTTATCAGCTCTTGCAGCTTGCAGAAAGGCTTGCTGTTGTATTTGTTAATGGGTCTGGCTGGCATCCAGCACTTGGGGCTTTGGGGGCTGCCAACACCTCGCCCACAGGCAGGTGCTGTGGTCAGCCACACATCCCCTCCCTGCCTCCTCTGGGATGCACTTATGGCTGTGCCTAAAGCCAGCCTGGGAATTTGGGAATTCCATTTGGGAATCCACGATCATCAAGGCAATGAGGAGAAGCCCCCCTTGGCTCTTTCCCTAACCCAAACCTGCTGATTTAAAGCCATGAGGTGGCTCTGACAAGATCCCAGCCCATGGGGAAACCTGAAGGGGCTTTGGCTGAGCTTGAGAAGTGCAGGAGCTTCTTTCTGCTCCGTTTTTTTCACCCTCGAGTTGATTCTGCGTCTCCCCTCCTGCCTCAAACGCAGCTCCCAGAGCAGCAGCCAGCGAGGTCTCCCTCTCCTGGGCAGTGACACACGAGGGATGAGGTGTGTGCCCTGCTCTGGAGGAGGGGTTGGCTCTGTCCCCACTGTCCCTCTGCCACTGCCTGGCCGCGGGGGACGAGCAGCCCGAACACCTCTGTCCCCCTTGGCTGCAGCTGCTGGCTCAGCTTCAGAGGGCTTTTCCTACCCCCTTATCTCAGAGCAGCCGAAATTCCAAACAAAACCCAGCCACAGGCTTATTCAAAACATTTATTAGTGTTTAAGGAAAATAATAGTGTGTGAAAGGTACAGAGCTTTGTCTAAAGTCATATGCATTTTCTTTATTTACAAGCTTATTTGGCTGCAAACTCTACACGAGATAAAACTAGTATGTTTTTCTCCCAGAGATTTGGAATTAAGGACAGTTTGTCTTTTATTTATTTATTTATTTTATTTCATTTCTCCTTTTAGTTCAGCACTGTAAGTTAGGACAGCATTTTCCAGGGTTTACTGCTATCTTTTTTCCTGTAGGCGTTTTGCTTCTCTCGCAGTATTTTCATTCCAGAACAAGGCTCATTCCAGATGCAAAGCATAAAGGAAACATTCATACCTTGGCTCTTAAGCTAAACCTCCTTCATGAACAGCAAGTTCATAAGGAATGTTAATTAAAGCATCATACAGTATCTAAATGGACTTTTTTTTTTTTCTCCTTTTTTTTTATATAAAGAATTAAGGCTATGTAGATGTCACAATAAAATAATCTCAGGTAAAACGCACCCTATCTGTTAGATATGAAAGAAAGGTTTAACAATAAATAAATGATTTATGCTGTCAATAACATTATGGAACTGTATAAAACTATATTTACGCAGCTTTAAACATAAAAAAAACCATACTAGTGGCATGAATATATACAACACAGGTCATGACATACGTTTAAATTATCATAGCCAGCAATGTTCTTTTTTTAAATGGGGACACTATAATAAATAGAAATGTTAAATATTTACAATAATAGCATATGTGGAATCAGTAGATGAACACATAAAATCTTCACACACAGAGGAAAAAAAAAAATGATGCCTTATACAAAAACCCCTCCCACCCCCTCCCCAATTTTCATTGACTAAACAAGGGGAATACACAATTTTCCCCACAGAACCAATGAATACAAATAAAACTGTATGCATGCTGAGGTGATACGTTGACTGAGACATTCAAAGATGCAGATCTCTGTTTGGTTCCCATTGATAAATCAAGACCTCTAATGACAGAGGGATCTTATTTTAGTTCAATGCAAGAACATTGGTAGCAAGCTGTTGTTTCTGGTTTGTGTTTGCTTTTTTTTTTTTTTTAATTGCTTTTTTTTTTTTTTTTGTGCTAAAATGCTTGGATTGTCTTTTTGGTTTGAGCTTGTTCTTCGTGGTGGTTCTGTGCCACCGAGGGGGAGAGGACACTTGCAGGGAACCCACGGAGGCACACACCAGAAACCTTCTTAGGGTACCACCAGCAGGTTTTTGGAGCAGAGGAGGTGGCCAAGAGATTGAGGAGCAAACCAAGCTGCTCTTGGAGCAGCCTGGGTGCCCCAGGGGTGGCTGAGTTGTCACCAGCCCCATGGGGCAGATGCCACCCTCACTTGCCCCATCACCACAGTCTTTGCTGCTGCAGCACCTGGCCTGATCCCAGCTCTTCCCACTGAAACCAAATGAGAATTTCATCACAGAACTTTGCTAAAATCGGGCAGGATCAAGGCCACGTCTCCAAGCAAAGACCTGGTGATCACAGAGACACCTTTTCAACTCAGCTGTCCCCTCCTGCCTCCTACGTGGTGTCTATTTAAAGCAGTGCCTCCAAGTTCTGCGGGTGGATCCCTGCATTAAACCCTGAATGTAGCTATTAGGAGCCGTGCTCACTTAGCAGGAACTGAAATCTGAGTTGGAAATTGTAGCCAAATTCCAACACCCTCCTCTCCTGTTTATGCAGCTCCTTCCCACCATGCAGCAAGACGTACATTGGTTCACTGGGTACGTTCTGTCTCTGCTGAACTGCCTTCCTGCCCCCACAGCTTTCCTCCCCAACTTTCTAAATGAGAAGGCTCCAATCCCCGGTGTGATTCCCACTTTCTAAGAAAAACTCCCTTTTCTCTCTAGAGGAAGCTGAGAGCTCACCCTCCTGTCCCTGTGGGTGCTGCAGCCTCCACTTCCAGTACAATATCTGGGAATATATAGGATTGCAGAGCTGCAACCTGAGAATAACAATTGCATAGGGGGTAGGAGAGATATGGCCAAACACCTCATTCACACTTGAAACTGCTTAAAGACAATAAGCTCTTGACACTCTTCACCTTTACTAACTCGTTCTGTGGAGATTGGTCGTCGTTACCTGCACCAGAATTAAAAAACCCAAGTCAATCCCCTCTCCTTGTCTTTGGCATTTGGATAAACCAAGCTATAGGCAGGTTAGAGTGGGGCTCCACATCCCAGCAAACCACACCATACTGCTAAGGAGAGGCAGGCTTCTGATGGGCCTTCAATGCAGCCCTAATAAGAACTAAATATATGGGGATTTATAGGGTCCTTTGCTGTCTGAGCCCACACCTGCCCCTTTAGGCTTGGGCTGTAAGGGTGGAAGACCTGTATCACTGAGGGGGCAGATGGAAGCAGAGAATATGCACAGGGTTTTCAGAGGCCCATGAGAATACTTTTGGGGGTCCTCCACCCTGTGCAAGTCTTAACAGTCACATTGCCTTGTCTGGAAGCTGATTACTTGCCTTTGAAGTGACTGGGCATGGTTCTGTGATCAGCAAGTGTCAAGTTATGCAGTTGTTAGAAACTAACAGGGGGCACTTAAAACCAGGCAGCGTCACCAGGTGGGAACAATGGCTCAGAAGTTAATTCAGAGAAAGTGGTGGAGCTCCAGACCACACGGTTCCTGTGCCAGACACGGGGCAGCTACTTCTTCATTAGAGAGCTTCACATAGAGGGCCCTGAGCTCTGGCGTTCCCAGCCACAGGCAGAAACCAAATCCCCCTGGAATTCAGCCATCTGCTGTTAAGGCTGTGCCCTAAACCTTTGGAGGTGCTAAGCCACAAGCAGCCACATGCAGCCTGGCAGAGCCCGCTTAGAACCTTCTCCCCTGCCAAGGAGACCAAAGGGAAAAAACATAAAAATAAAAAAACAACAAAACCCCAAAATAAAAAAAAAACAACAAAAAAACAAACAACAAAAAAACCCCAAACCAAACCCCAAACCCAACCCAAACAAGATCCTAAATTTCAGATGATGTCCGTTTTGTCCAAAAAAAAAATAAAATAAAATAAAATAAAAGGGGAAAGAATTTATCTGGAGACATTTTGCCACCCGAGCGCCGCGTTTGCTGGATCGATAACCCATTGCCACTGCTCTCCCTTTGCTACTATATACACACTGATGCCGAGGTCCATAGATATCTTGCAATGCCCTGTGCTTGACCTCTGAATGGGAAATGCTTTGGAATGTCCATAGACGGGAGGATGGAACTCAGGGGAGGAGGTTTTTGTTTTTTTTTTGGGGGGGGGAAGGAAGGGGGAGCTGGTGCCTTTTTTCACCTCCTGACGTCGGAGAAGTCGGACAGTTCTTCTGCCCGGTCCAGGATCCCGTGGGCCCCTTTGGGACTGTGGCCCCCAGCTTTGGCCCGGGTGTTGGAGTGGCCCTTGGTACCTCTCTCTCCCTTGGCTGCTCGTGAGCTCTCCCTGTGCTCGGGGTCGGCGTGGGCCACCATGTCCCCACGGCCAGCACTGGCCCTGCTGCCTTCCCCCACCTTCTTCTCGGCGTCCCCGTGCACGGCGGAGGTGCAGAAGCTCAGGATGGAGCAGAGGCTTCCCCAGTTCTGTTCACACTGGGCCTGGACACTCCTGGTTATTGCCTTCTTCACCTCCTCGCCACAGGTCAGCAGGATGTTCACTAGGTCAACGTAAGGCCTGGAGGGAAAGGGAGCAGTGAGAGGAAAAGTCAAAAACCATCCCAGGGAAATCAGTGAGGAATCTGCCTCACCCTCCCTGGGCACAGCAAATCCAGTGGTGGCAACCCCTGACTCAGCAGCAATTCTGCCCACGTTAATTATGGAAAATCCCATATTCTAATCAGTCATTCCGCTGTAGGAAATGCACAGTGGAATCCTGTCAAAGCCTCTCTGGGTTGATCTTGCTTGCTCTCCCCCTGGAGATACTCTGGGAGAACTGGAATGTTCACCAGAGAACAGATGAGGTCTTGCTTGGCAAGTGCAAGAACTATCTCACACCTCCTGCCTCCATCTCTTTCCATACCCTCCCACGTTTATTACTCAGGACACAAGGCAAAGGGCACTTGCTCCTGTCCAGAGCCACCAGCTTCACCAAACAGGCTCTGCTTTGGATGAATGGCAGGTACAGAGCATTCACCAGCCCCCAGGCTGCAAGAGGGAGGCATTTTCTCACCTCTGTGAAAGCAACAAATACTCAGCTAGAGATTCTCTGGCTTTCCTCATCATCTCTGGAGCACTGGGTGTTGATCTCCATCACAGGCAAGATCCTATCTGGACCCAGGATCTGCCTGAACAGAGCTCAGACAAGTGAAATCCACTTTGGTGGCACTTTTTCTTCCCACACCAAGTTCTGTTTCTTCATTTCCTTACCGAGCTTTCAGTATCCACCTTTTTCCCAGGCAAACAAGGCCTCAAAACATGCCCTGGCTCAGTCCCCTCTGTGCTCCCCACCTACCCCCGAGTGTCCCCAAGGCACCAGCAGCTCGAGCACAGGCACTTGGGCTTCTCAGCCACAGGTCAGCGAGTGCAGCAATTTTAAAATAGTTGTGGTCACAAGTTTTGTGGGTCAATATTGATGTTGTCTATTGACACAACTGCTCAGCTGCTGCTTGCAGGCCCAGAAGGACGTGCTTAGAAATCTTCCAGGGCAGGAACCATCCACAGCACAAGTGGAAAGCTGCCCAGGGTCAGCAGGGGTGGGTGGTGGGGGTGCACCTTTTGGGCACCCCATCCCTCACCTCTGTGGCTGTGGACAAGACTAAATCTCTTCTCATTAACTTCAAGACAGAAGAGATGAGGAAAAGCAACAGATTAGGATCAGTGTCTGACTTTACCCAACTGCTCAAACTCATTTGGAATCGCTAATCTTGAAGAGCCACCTATTCCCCTATCTCAAAATATTTCCCATGGTTGGATTGTTCCTACTGCTCGGAAAAAAAAAAAAAAGTTCTTTGGAATGCAGCAGGGACCAATGTGCCAAGGCCTGTCACCACTTCCACCATAGCAAATCAGCCTGACCCCCACAGCTGACTCAGGAGGAGGCTTCGCTGCCCGACCGCGTTCCGAACACTCATCGGGAGAGAACAGTCAGAACAGCACAGGGAACGAGCCTGAGAGCTGCCACTTGCTTCTCTGCTCTTAGGTTTTTCTGTTTTAAATGTGAAGTAGGAGATAAGAGAGAGCTTGAGCACGTTGCATACAAAGTGTATCCAGCAAAAGGATATAAACCTCCCTGCCTCCCAAGAAATGAGTTCTTGAAATTGGGCATAACCTTTGCAGAAATCTTTGTCAGAAAAAACGTCGCTGGTATGACTAAAAAGTGGCTCAGCTGCCAAATATTTCAGGTATTCAGAGCCTGCCAGAGCCCTGTGGATTAATACTGGCCCATTTCTCCTTGCCTGTTTTACTTTCTGCATTTCAGCCGGCCTGACCAGAGTACCTGAACTGAGCACAAGGCTGCAAGTCAGCAGACGTGATTTTATTTCCAGCTCTGCCACACTTGCCTATTGATCTCGAACAAGTTCCTTAGTTCAAGAGCTTCAGAGATGGCCTCTAAATTTAGGGGAGGGGAGGAGGCTGGCTGGTTCTATTTGGGGAGTCCCGCATAGGAGAGCCGAGCTCCCACTCCGGGAGATGCTGGAGTGTAGGAAGCGCTAAACGAGCTCATGCAAATTATAGGTGTTCAGCTGAATGACCCTCTCTTCTCCAACCAACAACCCCCCAGTTCAGCTCCCCAGAAATAAGCAGCTGCCTCTGAGCATTCCTGCTTGAGCCTGTTCATAAAAATAAGGATAACTCACTCCTCCTTGGACAGGCTTTTGGCTCGCACGGTTCTTTTCATCCCCAAATGATGGGGGGTGTTAATTGGTGCCAAGTACCCAATTTATAGCTGCTGACACAGCCCAGGCAGTGCCCAGAGAGTGCTGCTGGGCAGGATGGAGCCCTGCTGCCCTTCTCTCTCGGCCAGCAGGATGCTGCCCATGGCCCTGGGCACAGCAGCTCTGCCCCCAGCCATGCCTTTGATCCCAGCCTCAGGAATGTCCAGGGAAAAGGGCCTTGCTTTCAGGCCACCATGGCCAGCTTGAACAAACCACAGCACAGGATTTATGGGAGTAAGTTGGCATTGAAGCCTCTCTGTGCAACTGCAGCTGAAATATTACTGGGGGGTGGTTTTCAGCATGAAAGGAATCAGAGCACAGCTCCTTTGGGTAGTGAGGAAAATAAAATGCAAGGCTAAAATTCCCAAAGAAGTGATTCTGTAAAAAAATTTGTCTGTCATGACTGCTGGGATTTGGAGTTTCTGTGCTAATATTAAGGCACAGAGGCGTGGTAGGAAGATGCTCTAAGCTTAAGCCTGATGCCAGGCTGTGGCTCAGCCTTCTTGTTTCAGGAGTGAGACGTTCACCTGCAAGAAAAACAGGCTCTGATTTTTGCATTTGTGCACAAAGAGTCAGTACAAACAGCTTGTGCTTGGTTTGTTGCTGTCATGTAGCAGCTTTGATCAATTCCAAGTAGGATTTGTGCCTGCCATTCCTTGGAGGACAGCTGTGCTCCTAGTCAGAGGAATGAAGCTCTCAAAAAATCTGACTTGTGCCTTCATTTTGTACAACCTTATGTTTCATTAAAAAGCATCTGAAATTAATAAAGAGTAAGATGAATGGGAGATTACCTGGGAGACTGCAGCTCTTTCAGGGACAATTAACTACAAGACATTTCAAAGTATGTATTTAAAGAAGAAATTATCATCTTGCTGACAACTTTGCATAAACCTTCTTCCCCCTTCTCTAGTTGTCACCTCTAACAGAATACTGGGGTCAAAACGATGCCTTTGAGCTCCGAAAACAAAAAAAAAACACACCAAAACCATTGTGAGATGCCTCTGGAAATGGCAGGCACTGATGTTGTATTTGCCAGAGCACCAAGGGGACTGGCAGATCCAACTCATTTCACCTCCTTCCACAGTCACATCTCAGCCCTGGTACACAAACTTCAAGGGGCCCTGCAAAGAAAAGCTTTACCCGGGTGCTGTACATGGGAAAACAAGAGGTGCTTAAGGCCAGAAGGAGGTGAAACAGCTCTTGGGCAGATGCACAGCCCACTGGCACTCCTGGAAGGAGCTCCCACGCTCTGACTGCACCAGCACGGAGGCACTTACTCATGCTGCAGCAGGTCTTTGAAGTGAATCATCTCCACAATGACCTGGACGTTCTCCTTGGCAGCAGAGCAGAGGTCATGCTTCAGGTAGCACTCCCGCTGTAACTGGAACACCATCTCTTTAATGGCAGGGCACTTACGGCTGATGCAGCTGAATTTATGCCTCAAGGCATGAGCCTTACACTTCAGAGCGTCTTTAATGAAGGATTTTCCCTGAGAAGGAAAGAAATGGAGTAGGTCTGTATTTTTGTCCATTAAGCACAGCAGCTGATTTATGCCCAGCCAGCTGCTTCTCTGCAGGACAATGTCAGGGGTTATTACAGTGCTAAGGATATCACTTAATGGCTTTCCCCTTCTTCTCTGTTTCTCTACCCTAAAAGATCCTGCCAAGTTAGCTTTGCTATCCCAGTGGACCTGAAACACTCAGGGATTCCTCACTGCTGCTTTGAGGTTTCCTTTGCCCCAACAGCTGAATGCCCAAGGAGGGAAAGAGTAAAAGTAAGCGCCTTGAAGAAATTCAGTGCTGGAGTTACTGGATTAATTTGCTTCCAGGGTGGCAGAACAACAGGTTCACACAAAGGAGAGGGCATCCTGCCATGGCTGAGCTCCTCAGGACCACAAGCAGATAACCCATTCAGTAACCACAGGTTTGGGGTTTTTTTCATTTTAAGATTAGTTTACAAACTCAGAGACATGCATGCATGATCTATATGCACCTGCCATATTCCCCAGCTATCAGTATTTTCTTCCTCAGAGAGGGACTCAAATCAGCACTAATAATCATCATCATCATAATCCTAGTGTCTTCATATCTGTTGCAAGAAATTCTAAGTGAATCAAGAAAATCACACCAAGAAACTAAAAAATAAGGTGGAGGAAATCTGCTTTAGCAGCATCTCTTTAAGCACTGTGATTCCTTCACTCTTGCTTGGTGGGTATCAAACCCATCCCTTCCTTTCCTCTTTTATTGGACCCTGCAGCTACAGCTCTGCTCAGCTCCCTGTGCTTTGGGCAATGGGCCCATGGAAGCCTCCTGCACTGCCTCCACCTCTTCATCAGCCTCAGATTCTTTTATGCAGGTGCTCCCTCAAGACCAAATCCTTGCTCCCCTTTATCCCAAGAGTGCACTGGCCCAGCTCCACTGACACCAAATAAGATTCACCCGGACCTGCAAGCAGATGTTGTCCCCAAATTGTTTAAAGCCAGAAACGTTTCTTGCTCATCAAAGAGCTGCTCCATCCCTTTCTGTTTCCCATCCCAAAGGCATTCCCTTGCCCTTCCCTTCAGGAACAAACACACGGCACAGTAGGCAAATAGGGATGAAAAAGAGAATTCTTATATAAACCCAAGCTGACATCAATTCTCAGGTTTCAGAGCAGAGAAAATGGCCAGTGTTAGTCTTGTCATTTAATGTAGCTTGAAATAACTGGGGATGATAGAAAGAGGAGCTGTGAAAAGCCATGTCATAGCAGAGGCTAAAGTCACCTTCATGTTAAATAAAGCTCCAGGGGTTTAAATCTTCTGCTGTGCACTGGAGACAGCCTGGATGTGAAACAGGCTGTGTTTGATGAGCAGTATCTGGGGATCTGGCATCAATGGCTACTCAGCCTCCACAGGCACCATTCTCTGCCTTCCCAGCTTTCCTTCCCTACTCCTTTGGTCAACTCTGTTCACCGACAGAAATATTGTGCAAAAATAAACGAGAGTTTTCTGGAAGCCACTTGGAAATTAAGTTGAAGGTTTTCAGATACCCACAAAAGCAGCAATTCCCATTTTAATGAGTAGCCAGGCCCTTCGTACATCCTTGAGCATTTGAACCTAAAGCACCTAAAAAAAAGTGCTCCCTGCTGGGTGGTCCCACCACCCCTCATGGGACAGGCTGGATCCTGAGGACAGCTCTACTTGGTGCCACACTTTTAGTAGTGCCATGCTTTTAGTCAAGTTATTCTGTAAACTGCCTGGTCAGGCCAAAATGCCGCTGGCCCATCGGAATGTTCCCTTCCCTCCACACTGAAATGGGAGAGGAGGTTTACAAGACATAATAACAGGATGTCTCAATGATGCATAAATGGTCTGGGGAGAAAATGAAGGAGACAAACTTAATACCACATACCATGGAAGTAACGTATTTTAACGTCAGTGCTCTGGGACCCGAGGCTTGTTTGAGTACAGCAGCTTTAGGAGGTTGCCTGGGCTGGTTGTGTGCAAGTCTTGAGGGCCAACTTTAGCAACTGCCCCGTTGGGAAATACTGAGATAATTCTAAATGACTTGGGAGCCCAAACTGCGTCTCAGAGCTGGCTTTGAACAAACATGGTGTAGAGGCTTGAGCCATCCAATGTTTCTTAAAACCATGTTTGGCTCCATGAAGGGCTCTGCTGGGGTTATCCTGGGTACAGTAGGTGGAAGGGATCCAGGGAACTGCAGCTGCAGCCAGCCTGTCCCCTGGGACAGGTTGCACACCGCTGCTTTATTACTGTCCTGAGGTCCTGACTCTGGACCTCTCAACAGAAAAATTCCTAGCGAATTAGCGAATCGTGGCAAAATTAGACTGGCTCCGGGTATTTTTTTGTGCAAAGGTGCGTTAAGGAGCTGCATTTCATGCCAAGTGTGTGTTAGAAGCAAGCAGACAGGTAGGACATCTCCCCGTGTTACCTGGGCATCGAATTTTCCAGCGTTGTGCAGGAATGTCATGCAGATCTCGTGTAAGCCTCGGATCTCGCAAGAATTGTTCTCAAAGCATTCAAACACTCCACATCCCACATCGCCAGCATTTACCAGGCAGTGCTGGATTTCAGCTAAAACGAGTATTGGTTAGAGTTAATTTGAAGAGCTCTTCACAGGAACTGGTGGTGGGTAGGGGAGACAAGAGTTGTTTTGCAACCAACATCAGTTTGGGAGAAAAATGCGTGACAATGGTCAATTGTACCCACAGCGTGCCCGCTTCTTGCAGGAATTAGGCCAAAACTTGGGTGTATTACGTTATGAAAGTGATATCCAACAAGTGAATGCCAAATCCACTATGCTTACGTCAAGCTATTTCACTTGAGAACTGTCTCATGCTCTTGAATTCCTCAGTAGCAAAGGACAGGCATGATTTTTGCTCTCTGGCTCGTGCAAAGCACCCCCTCCCCCAGCAAATTTAAGTGCCAAAACGAGAAGTCCAGGTGCCAGCCAGCTAAAATTTTTCATTTTTGGTACTTTGAGCAAGTTTCTGGCCATTCAGCACAATATTTTTTACAGACCACTGGATTTTGCCTGTCAAGATGTCTGTCAAGTTAATGGCAAAACTCCCACTGATTAAGTAAAGTCCTTTGCACCAAGAGTTGTATGAAAAATGCAACTGTGTGCTCAGCTATGCAGAAATCAATAGAACAGATTTAGATTTATATACGTAGTACATAAAATAGATGTACTGGAGCTAGTAGTTACATATGTGTTTATTCTGCCCTTTCAGATGTTATGTAATACTGCAAAAAAATGCTGTCTAATACTCACTTTCAAAAAAAAAACCAAAAAAAACCAAAAAAAACCCAAACCAACCCCACCAACCCAAAAATGCAATTCTTAACACGATAGCTTCTGGTCCTTTAAAAAAATTGGATGTAGTAGTACTGCCAGAGGGAAGGTGGTTGCTGAAAAAGCCTGGGGATAAAGTTAAACAGGAGCAGCTTTTAGACCAGAACTGAGGATGCTAAGAATTCCTGTACTCTGTGCCCTGTGGTACCTTTAATTAAAGTTCGCCCTTGGGAGCCAGCCTAATCCCCCTCGAACCGCAGCGTGTTTCAGCCATCCCCAGCCTCCCCCTCTGCCATGCGGTCCATTTGCAAGTCTTTACAGCAACTTTCGGTCTAATTTCCACCCGCTGCAAGGCAGAGAGAGGAGCCGCGCATGGAAATGCGGAGCCCGCCGGAGTTCTCACGACCCCCCCCCACGCCGCCAGCATCCAAAATCCAAATCACTGCCGCCGCACTTCTTTTTTTTTTTTTTCCCCCTTTTTTTCTTCCCTTTCTACCTGCCCTGAAGTGCATCTGGGGGTGGCACAGGGTGGGATCCAGGGATTGTCGGAGGCACAGAGGGGAAGCTGCGCAAACACACCCGCACCGGGGGGGTTGGAGAGGGGCACTGGAGCCTTTTGTGGAGCGCTGCGGAGCGCGGAGCCCGGCGCTTTTCGGGGCCGGGAGCGCGGCCGTGGTGCTTGTGTTGGCATCCGGATGCAAAACCCTTTTTGCCGGATCACATGTCCTGGCTCCAGCGTGCTGAGAACTGCACAGTGCCGTGATTCACATGTGGCAGTCCCTAATGGGCATTCGTGCATTCCTGCTCGTGTGTGTTTAAACACGTCTCGCAGCACGGAG